GTACTACTACAGAACAGGCTATGGGGTCTTGCTTGTCTGAGCAGTTACATTCACCCAAGACCGATGACATTCTGTCGGCAGATTTTTTTAGCGATTTTGCCGGATCGGCATGCCCGAACGGCTTCACCGATCACGAGAACGACGAGTTACATCATTTCACAGAGGCTGACGAGCCAACTAGTTTGGCTGATGTTTTGGGGTGCAATGCNNTGCAGAAGATGCCGCAGATCTCGAGTCCGTACTCGGTCCGGATGCTGATCGTTTGAGCGCTGCAGATCATGTGTCCGATTCGTTTCTGCAATCCCTGGTCAACGACTCTCCCGGTCTCGCCTTGGGCAGTGCCGATGACGATGATGCCGACGCGGATGTCGAAACCGCACGTTTGTTCGATTCTGACTTCGGTGTCTGTGTCACGGATGATCCTTTGGACGATCCCGCTCAGACGACCAATGTGAACCAACAGCACACAGGTGTGTCGCACCAAGGATCATCGTGCATGGATAGTGCCACTCAATTTGAATTGGATTTGGAAGCATTTGCGAAATCCGATTGTCCCCTGGACACCAGCGCATCCGGACACTCAGTCCCCGTGCCTAGTTCGCAACAAGTGCGCTCCCTATTCCAAAACAGTTCCAACGCACACCATCATCCGGCTAATCGGTCACGTGGGCTTCCATGTGACCTCTCACGAACCATGTCAGCGGAGTCAAAACTTCTCGGTCTATTTGGTTCTGGTACGCGTCGGCACGGTAGTAAAACTCATCGCTCCACTCAGGAAGATGATTTTCTTGCTGTCGATTTTGCCGACGCCGATGGAGACTACACAACTGCAGAACAGTTCAATGAGGCTCTCCTACTTCTTGGTCCACAACCCAATTCCCCCGTCGAATTATCTCTTACGTATGATAAATCGATTAAGGAGCCTTGCGAATTACAACCACCACAGGAAACCCACGAGACCGAACCCCAAGTAAAACCAGCAGATCAAACAGAGAACCATGCTCCAGAAACGACCGCATTAATGGATCAGTTGCCCTCGATTGTACCGAATAGTCCGCGGAGGCTTACCTATTTATCCGAGCAAGAAATCTGTATTGATCTCGAATGTTTCGATTGCGAGTCAGAAGACGATACTGTTTCCGAAAGGGCCGTTGTTACCATCACAACTGAAGATGTTAGTTCAAAATGTTTAAGACCCCTTATGGAAACCACAGTTGCACAATCTCCGAAGCTTTGCACGTTTCAGCTTCCATTGGCAACCGTCTTATTGGACACAATTGAACAAACCGAGCCTGTAATGCACACTTTTCCGGAAATCACAAAAATCGAAGTCTATAGATCGAGTGAACAAGATACTGTACACAATGCATCGAATCCTACTACTCCAACGCAACTCATGGAATCGGTAGATATTCCTCAAGACTCAAAATCGGTGGAAGTTTCTTCAATGATTCTTGAGTCACGTGACACCAAAAGCGGGGATTCAGATGAAGAAGCCACACTGGCCATGAGGTTAGATTCTAATCAAATACCTGCTGAGGAACATGTGTTCAACACAGACTCGGCTAAAAACCAGCACTATAGTTCTGTCAGGCGCTCGATTCCCCGTAATGTTCGACCAGCAAAACGTCAATTTCGGGCTCGTTCCATCAGTCTGGCTACTCCGTTAGAGTTGGCTGCTTCAACTCCAACTCGAGTCTCGCGTAATCGCCGTCGTTTGCTCAGTGCACCATCGCAGATCCCACCATTATCTGCCGTCTTACGACATACACGTCAATCAAGCACTCGATACGCATCTCTCAAGAAAACCGATTCTGACGATCATCCATCTATATCTGGTTCGGATTCTCAAAAACTATCACCACAACCTCATATGGCTGCGGTTCCTAGCACAGAACAGTCTTCACATTTATCCGCGGACGAATCAGCCACCGAGCCAATGCAAGCTCAGTCTATTCTTACTGTGCTGGCCTCATCTTCCGCTCTCCTCGAGGCTGCTGCTGATTTAGGTTCGGAGTCAGACGTTTCACCAGTCAAATCCAGTTTGGGCTTAGATACTTTGGATCGGATGTTGAAGAACTGTCAAAAGCGAAGCCAACAAGCTTTGTGCGACACAACAGATAGCAAGTCTAGTTTGGTCAGCTCTTTGGAGAGTGATGCAACTGGGGGCTCCCAGACAGCAACAGGACAGAGTACAGTGCCGATGACCTGTTTGGGCACAGAACAAGATCGATCGATTGCCTCTGAGGGAGCCTCGACTGAACCCGACGCAGCAGATACAACCAGTCTTAGTAACTGGACTTCCATCACTGACTGTGATAGAGAAACCACCTCAAAACCGATTGTTAGTGATGTCGATGGTGGCAGTCATCGTCGTCGCCGTCGAGTGGTTGGAAGACGAAGCAAAAAGACAATTTCTCGTCGACGAAAACAGCCAGAACGCGTCCAAGCTTCCGAAGGCACCAGGTCGTCCGAAACCGACCAAATCAGATCGGATTCTGTTGAACTGGAATTCACGTACCCAACCGAAAAGAACACACTGTTGACACCGACATCCGATCACGCTTCTTCTGATGCGTTACGGGCTTCCTCGATCGATTCAATGGCTTCCAACTTACCACTCACTGGTTTCCTTTTTTGTTCCTCCGAGAGGCCACACTCGTTTGGGTGAGTATTACTCCACTAAAGCACATGTTTGATGCATGAACAAACGTTACGTCCTAAAATTTAATGCGGGTATTTCTATCCGTCAGTTTCTTCCTCGTTCTTTGACTCAGTTCAAGTAGAACTCTTCGGAGAACGCGCATCAGATGTTATGGGCTGCAAGACCTGTAAACAGAAAGTTATCGAACTATGTGACGAATTTATGCAACAACTATTAAT